AGGAACAGAGCATACGGGGAAATAACTGCATAGAACACAATGTGCGCATAGTTCAGGCTCTTGTCTCTCATTACCACGAGAACTTCTGCGGGGCCCCAAAACTATTAGCTACGGTTCCTTCTCCTGCCCTTGCGAGCCGACCCCCAGCCCACCAGGCCGTCCACGCGGGCCGCACTTTCCCGTGGCTCTGTAATAAGCATTGCTGGTCAGCCACCATCGAGGGGTCTCAGTCAGGTAAACAAAAAAAACCAACAACCTATCGCCCACTTGCAGTAAACCTTCTGGCAGACAGCTTGACATTTCCAGAAGTGAACGCCTCGCGCCGCCCCGCCATCTCGCTAAATGTTAAGTGTGACTGCCGAAAAAAATATAATCAGGATACATTCATGGGAAAATGATTTCACAAAAGTGCCGATCGCTGTGTTCCAAGCCGTTCCGGCACAAAGGAAACATAATGCGCCATTCTTCTCCTTCCGAGCGCTCTAATTAAACGCGGCACAGAGCGCGCTCACCGGCTCGCCGGGAACCTTTCACTTGTTTTGTTAGTGAAATTACACTCTGTGTGCAATGGCAGAATTGAACGGGCCGCGATGGAGGAAGGCGGGAACCGGGGACTTTCTTCTTCTTTAATAAACAGCAACAAAATGTACAAGAGGCACCGAGAGGAGGAACTCACCTTCTGTTCGATTTCCCTAAACCCCAAACTAAAGGGGACCTCTAACATTAGACAGACCCTATAACCTGAGCATGGCCTTCCCTTCAGTCTTCTATCTGACCTCCGTCCTCCCCTTCAGTCTTCTATCTGCCCTCCGTCCTCCCCTTCAGTCTCATATCTGTCCTCCGTCCCCCCCTTCAGTCTTCTATCTGCCCTCCGTCCTCCCCTTCAGTCTCATATCTGTCCTCCGTCCCCCCCTTCAGTCTTCTATCTGCCCTCCGTCCTCCCCTTCAGTCTCATATCTGTCCTCCGTCCCCCCCTTCAGTCTTCTATCTGCCCTCCGTCCTCCCCTTCAGTCTCATATCTGTCCTCCGTCCCCCCCTTCAGTCTTCTATCTGCCCTCCGTCCTCCCCTTCAGTCTCATATCTGTCCTCCGTCCCCCCCTTCAGTCTTCTATCTGCCCTCCGTCCTCCCCTTCAGTCTCATATCTGTCCTCCGTCCCCCCCTTCAGTCTTCTATCTGCCCTCCGTCCTCCCCTTCAGTCTCATATCTGTCCTCCGTCCCCCCCTTCAGTCTTCTATCTGCCCTCCGTCCTCCCCTTCAGTCTCATATCTGTCCTCCGTCCCCCCCTTCAGTCTTCTATCTGCCCTCCGTCCTCCCCTTCAGTCTCATATCTGTCCTCCGTCCCCCCCTTCAGTCTTCTATCTGCCCTCCGTCCTCCCCTTCAGTCTCATATCTGTCCTCCGTCCCCCCCTTCAGTCTTCTATCTGCCCTCCGTCCTCCCCTTCAGTCTCATATCTGTCCTCCGTCCCCCCCTTCAGTCTTCTATCTGCCCTCCGTCCTCCCCTTCAGTCTCATATCTGTCCTCCGTCCCCCCCTTCAGTCTTCTATCTGCCCTCCGTCCTCCCCTTCAGTCTCATATCTGTCCTCCGTCCCCCCCTTCAGTCTTCTATCTGCCCTCCGTCCTCCCCTTCAGTCTCATATCTGTCCTCCGTCCCCCCCTTCAGTCTTCTATCTGCCCTCCGTCCTCCCCTTCAGTCTCATATCTGTCCTCCGTCCCCCCCTTCAGTCTTCTATCTGCCCTCCGTCCTCCCCTTCAGTCTCATATCTGTCCTCCGTCCCCCCCTTCAGTCTTCTATCTGCCCTCCGTCCTCCCCTTCAGTCTCATATCTGTCCTCCGTCCCCCCCTTCAGTCTTCTATCTGCCCTCCGTCCTCCCCTTCAGTCTCATATCTGTCCTCCGTCCCCCCCTTCAGTCTTCTATCTGCCCTCCGTCCTCCCCTTCAGTCTCATATCTGTCCTCCGTCCCCCCCTTCAGTCTTCTATCTGCCCTCCGTCCTCCCCTTCAGTCTCATATCTGTCCTCCGTCCCCCCCTTCAGTCTTCTATCTGCCCTCCGTCCTCCCCTTCAGTCTCATATCTGTCCTCCGTCCCCCCCTTCAGTCTTCTATCTGACCTCCGTCCCCCCCTTCAGTCTTCTATCTGACCTCCGAACCTTCCCTTCAGGTTTCTTTCTGACCTCCGTCCTTCCCTTCAGTCTTCTATCTGACCTCCGCCCTTCCCTTCAGTCTTCTATCTGACCTCCGTCCTTCCCTTCAGTCTTTCATCTGACCTCCATCCTTCCCTTCTGTCTTCTGTCTGACCTCTGTCCTCCCCTTCAGTCTCATATCTGACCTCCGTCAGTCTCCTTCAGTCTTCTATCTGACCTCCGTCCTCCCCTTCAGTCTTATATCTGAGCTCCTTCCTTCCCTTCAGTCTTCTATCTGAACTCCGTCCTTCCCTTCAGTCTTATATCTGAGCTCCTTCCTTCCCTTCAGTCTTCTATCTGACCTCCGCCCTTCCCTTCAGTCTTCTATCTGACTTCTGTCCTTCCCTTCAGTCTCATATCTGACCTCCGTCCTCCCCTTCAGTCTTCTATCTGACCTCCGTCCTCCCCTTCAGTCTCATATCTGACCTCCGTCCCCCCCTTCAGTCTTCTATCTGACCTCCGAACCTTCCCTTCAGGTTTCTTTCTGACCTCCGTCCTTCCCTTCAGTCTTCTATCTGACCTCCGCCCTTCCCTTCAGTCTTCTATCTGACCTCCGTCCTTCCCTTCAGTCTTTCATCTGACCTCCATCCTTCCCTTCTGTCTTCTGTCTGACCTCTGTCCTCCCCTTCAGTCTCATATCTGACCTCCGTCAGTCTCCTTCAGTCTTCTATCTGACCTCCGTCCTTCCCTTCAGTCTTCTATCTGACCTCCGTCCCCCCCTTCAGTCTTCTATCTGACCTCCATCCTTCCCTTCAGTCTGCTATCTGACCTCCGTCCTTCCCTTCAGTCTTCTATCTGACCTCCTTCCTCTCCTTCAGTCTTCTATCTGACCTCCGTCCTACCCTTCAGTCTTCTATCTGACCTCCGTCCTTCCCTCTTATAATCCTTTACTTCCCGGAGATATAATATGACCAGTACTGGAACTTTTAAATTTTTGTTTATATTTGTACAATGTATCCAATGCAATATTGATCATTCAGACAATCCCCTCCCCCCCTTTCCTCTTCTTAGCACAGGTGATTCTGCCATGTTGTTCATTAGGGGTGAGCAAGTCTTGGGTTCTGTCCCTAAATAGTTGGGTGAATCTTGTTTGAAGGTCAAAGTTTGCAGCCAACCCCATTGAAGTCCATAGGAAGCCGGGCACCGCCATCAAGGACATGTACCAATGCCAAAAATTGTCCACTCTCCTTAAAGTTCAACACACAGGTTACCATCTGATTGTACAACCTCCTTCAGATCCTCCAACAACTATATAGTGCGAGGACAGTCAGACTGTAACGTGTATGGTGACCCCTTTTCAGGAAAAAGTCTACGCACTGCGTTATAGGTTGTCCCTTATTTCTGGTGGCCAACCTTGGAAGTCTCCAGACCGGTAGTAGCAGTGACCTCCAACCTTGTCCCCAATGTTCACAACTTGTCAGTATAATATTCCATATAATAAACCAAGTTACACATCTTCTGTACATGGCATTGTATGATAAATATATGACCTCTGAAGTTTACCCGTCATACATACAGAAAGGATGCAGCCAATTGGTGGGCAAGGCCAAGCTGTATCCTACCAGAAACGTGTGACCTCCTTGTAGCCATGCTCTCGCTGAGAGCCATTTAAGTTCTCAGCATGCGGCGGGGAACAGGAGGCTCTTTGATCTATATTACATAACCGTCATTTCAGTTTCTTTCGGTGATAAAAGTTTTACTTTCTGCTAACCGCAAAATTCTAAATTCAGGAAATTAAATTCTTTTTTTTTCAGGGGGTTTATTTCCTCCTCCGTGAAGTTTGGCTTTCTCTGCATCATTCCATAGACAGGTCATACATACCGGCAGGGTAGGGCTGACCATTCTCAGTCCTATCATGCGTTATGTCTGTGAGGTGGGATGGGGGTGTAGAGATCTTCGAATGTAATTTGCCCCCATGAGCCTCGGATAGCAGTATTTATTTATGGGCACCCTATAGACATTGGATCATGTCCCTGGGAGCTGCAACTGTAGAGGTAGAAGACAACAGGTCACTTTAAAGTGCAACTCAAGCCAAAGCCTTTTTTTTTTTTAGTTTTGGATGCAGTGGAGAGCGATTAGACCCCCTGTCAGGTTTTTTTATGTCTGCGTCCCCATTAGGGAGATTCACCCTCTTTATTTGTCCTGGTGACCGTTATCGATGGAAGAGAAAGAAAATCTCAAATCTTGGATTGTTATCAGGATAAGATGGGAAGGGCTCCAATGGGGCCACTAGTTCTGGTGACAACAAGGACTTCCCTCACTTTGGAGGGATTTCCATTCACTTCCTTTTGTGACTTCCAAAAGGACTAGCAACCAATCAGATCTGACTTCAAACCCTAATGGACAGTTACTGTGCCAGTATAATCAGTGGCAGTTGGCTAACTGGTCCTTTTGAGTCCACCAGTTCAGTTGAGCTTTTGTTTGAGTTTTGGCAGCTTTATTACTCTGGTTTGAGTTATCTCCAGGTTCCCATCATGGGAAGCCGTGTTGTATGCAAGCCGCATGACCTGAGCCAGTGAGCTTGTCTTAAGATTTTTTTTCATTTGATCACATGAATACATTTTGGAGTCTCAGCACCTTTTCCAATATGTCTGATTGGCCTTTCAACTGTCTGAGCTCACACACTGTCACCCAGCTCCTGAGTGATCGTAGTAAGAGATCGGAGAGGGGCGCTGTGATCGTAGTGGGAGATCGGAGAGAGGTGCTGTGATCGTAGTGGGAGATCGGAGAGGGGCGCTGTGATCGTAGTGGGAGATCGGAGAGGGGCGCTGTGATCGTAGTGGGAGATCGGAGAGGGGCGTTGTGATCCTAGTGGGAGATCAGAGAGGGGTGCTGTGATCATAGCGGGAGATCGGAGAGAGGTGCTGTGATCGTAGGGGGAGATCGGAGAGAGGCGCTGTGATCCTAGCGGGAGATCGGAGAGGGGCGCTGTGATCGTAGTGGGAGATCGGAGAGAGGTGCTGTGATCGTAGGGGGAGATCGGAGAGGGGCGCTGTGATCGTAGTGGGAGATCGGAGAGGGGCGTTATGATCCTAGCGGGAGATCGGAGAGGGGCGTTGTGATCCTAGCGGGAGATCGGAGAGGGGCGCTGTGATCGTAGTGGGAGATCGGAGAGGGGCACTGTGATCGTAGTGGGAGATCGGAGAGGGGCACTGTGATCGTAGTGGGAGATCGGAGAGGGGCACTGTGATCGTAGTGGGAGATCGGAGAGGGGCACTGTGATCGTAGTGGGAGATCGGAGAGGGGCACTGTGATCGTAGTGGGAGATCGGAGAGGGGCACTGTGATCGTAGTGGGAGATCGGAGAGGGGCACTGTGATCGTAGTGGGAGATCGGAGAGGGGCACTGTGATCGTAGTGGGAGATCGGAGAGGGGCACTGTGATCGTAGTGGGAGATCGGAGAGGGGCACTGTGATCGTAGTGGGAGATCGGAGAGGGGCACTGTGATCGTAGTGGGAGATCGGAGAGGGGCACTGTGATCGTAGTGGGAGATCGGAGAGGGGCACTGTGATCGTAGTGGGAGATCGGAGAGGGGCACTGTGATCGTAGTGGGAGATCGGAGAGGGGCACTGTGATCGTAGTGGGAGATCGGAGAGGGGCACTGTGATCGTAGTGGGAGATCGGAGAGGGGCACTGTGATCGTAGTGGGAGATCGGAGAGGGGCACTGTGATCGTAGTGGGAGATCGGAGAGGGGCACTGTGATCGTAGTGGGAGATCGGAGAGGGGCACTGTGATCGTAGTGGGAGATCGGAGAGGGGCACTGTGATCGTAGTGGGAGATCGGAGAGGGGCACTGTGATCGTAGTGGGAGATCGGAGAGGGGCACTGTGATCGTAGTGGGAGATCGGAGAGGGGCACTGTGATCGTAGTGGGAGATCGGAGAGGGGCACTGTGATCGTAGTGGGAGATCGGAGAGGGGCACTGTGATCGTAGTGGGAGATCGGAGAGGGGCACTGTGATCGTAGTGGGAGATCGGAGAGGGGCACTGTGATCGTAGTGGGAGATCGGAGAGGGGCACTGTGATCGTAGTGGGAGATCGGAGAGGGGCACTGTGATCGTAGTGGGAGATCGGAGAGGGGCACTGTGATCGTAGTGGGAGATCGGAGAGGGGCACTGTGATCGTAGCGGGAGATTGTATGTGAGCTCAGGTGCTGATCCTCTGACATCCCAGCTTAAATGACAAAGATCTGAGTGAATTTTAGGATCTGAGTGAATTTTTCATATTTTTGTATTTCCAAGGTCTTTAAAGGGATAAAACGCGGGCAAATGGAATGCAGATATGTACAAAATATGTTTTGGGTTTTTTCTTGCCCCGACAAAGTCCTTTTAAAACTAGAACAACCTGGTCCTCAGTATGACCACTAGGGATGAGCTCAGGTTCAGACTCCTCCGAACCCAGAAGTGGCTCCTACCAAATATGGAAGGAAGCACCTACCATGCCACCCAATCAGCAGCTTGCGGGGAATTCCTCACCACAAGCTTAGCATAAGGTGCAGGTTGCAGTGACGTCATCGACCTTATATGGCTACATGTCTATATTCGGTAAATGAGGTCAGCACAAACATCCCGCCCCTTTGTTCACATGCACCTGCAGGTTGGGAAATGTCCGGCCCGCAGCTGATTGGATAGAGGTGCCCATGGCACTTCCTTGTTCGGGGGAGCTCCGGGTTCAGACTGGCTTCGATGTGAACCTGAGCTCATGCCTAGTGACAACATTGTATCAATTTCACATTGGCGGTTGTCTGATTGCCACATTTCTGTTGCAGAATGAATCCTGCAAGAAGCATCAGGAGGAAGCTCTGGACATCGCCCTTGATGACCCAGGAGCCAATGCGGCGGCTACGAAAATCCAGGCCGGTTTCCGCGGACACATGACCAGGAAGAAGATGAAGGGCAGCGACAAAGAAGGCAAACACAAAGAGGGCAGCAGCAGCGCAGAGGGGTCCATAGACAGTTAAGACCAGGTCAGTGTCCAGGAAGGGTATTAATCACATTGAAACTTTGATGTAGACTCCGCCCCTTCCTGTAATAAAGACCGGTCACTGCTGCCTTTTCTTCTTGTGCAGGGTGACTGGTCTTGTCTCCGCCCCTCCTGTAGTTTACTGTAGCAGGTGTGGCCTGCTGGGTCCTCCCCCCACAGCTCTCTGCACAGGCAATGTACAGCCCAGTGATGATGTCACAGCTATATCTGGGTCTGGAAAGGCGTTTGATGCACACAAAAGGGATTTATATATTTTGCGGTTCATGAGAAATATATTAGTTTTTGTGTCCGGACATGCTCTCAGTCTTACTCTGCAAAGAGATTCTCCAGCTGGTGGGACAGCCATCTAAGTACCAGCAGACTGAGGTTGGAAGGGGCACTGGGACAGTTTAACAAAGCAGTTAATGGTTCATGCACAGTAGCCACCACTGTGTTTTTTAATGCACCTTTCACAACATCCGCTGTTCTGACCTTTAAAGCTTTACCATTTGCTGCCACACCCAGACAGGAAGGTAACAGAGTTTACACTATGGTAGCTTTTTTCTGAGAGACAGAGTTCCTTCATTTCTAGTTAGAGCATTTAGAGATTCAGCTTAACAGTTTATAAATATTGTTTAATGAAAAGGAAAAAAAACAGTGCAAGAAATATTTATAGAAAAGGTTTCCCAAAACAGACTTAAGCAGCAGTAATAATAAAAGGTTTAAAGGTGAAACATACTTAAGTAGAGGTCACCTGGTCTTTGGTACAGTGCAGAGCTCATATCACATGAACACTAACTCCGATTTGCTGCTGCAAAAATCACTGTTCCTCATAAAGTGACTAATCCTCAGTGCTTCCTGCTGGTAAAACGAGAGCCTCCAGCTGCTCATGCTGCTACCTCTTCTTGGTACCTGGGCAAGATGATGCAGCTTCCTCCCCCAATCAAAAAGTCTGAAGGGTGTGTCTTAGGTATGCTGGAGTGTTTCAGGCCCGGTGCAGACCTATGCACGGCCCCATTGATTTCAATGGGGTGACATCCACCCGGCAATCGCAGAAAAAAAGGTATATGTACCTTTTTATTTTTGCGACACACGACTCACGGCTGTTTTATCTACGATCGCGTTCTGAAACCGCGCAATCCGCCTGGCGCCACTGGGGTGCCATTAGAAAATAATGGCACCCACAGCGCGATCGATGCACACCTAGGCAACTCCTGACACAATTGCCGGGCGGTGAGGTGTCGCCTAGGTGTGCACCGGCCCTTATAATCCCCAGCGAAAACACCATTAATTCCAACTCTCCTGGGTAAGTTTCCTATTTTCATGTTGTTAGAGGCCAAACATGATATATCTGATGTATATTTTTCCAAGAATGTTGAATGTGTCCAATTAGCCTACCGGACCGCTGATCACTCAGCTCATGGCTTCTCCCTACAGAGAGCGGCGAATGTTAGTAACTGCTCCCCACAGGGATTCTCCCATCCTATCTCTGTTGCTCCAGTGATCATTGGAGGGACAGGCAGGGGCGAGCACAGCTTGCTTTGTTTCTAGAGAGGCAGTGGGGTGGATTCCGACAATATTGTCAGGATTTTTACCGGCTGCAGCACGGCTCTGCACTGTCAGCATATAGCGGCCACTAGCCTGCTATATGCTGACTTTGGGTGACAAGAGAACATTAGCAAACATACTCCTGTGATCCAAAAGAGAACTAAAGCCATAAAAAAAAGTTTGGCTATAGTTCTCTTTTAAATGTACCGATTTCCACGACTGCTTAAGCACAGACTGAGGATTTTAATCTGACCGCCTCGTTACCGACGTCGTTTCAATTTTAGGGGAAATGAGGGTGGCATGGTGTTCACCACTTCCCATTCACCCCACACAGTTTGGGGTTCATCAGACCTCATTATCTTCATAGATGGCATGCTTTATAAACACACGGGGAAGGAAAAAGTTGCCATCTTGAATCAGTTTTTTACTTCTTTATAAACAAGTCCCGTCGTCGCATCTGATTGGTTGGTGCCCTGCCATAAACTGCTCTCCCACAAGGCAGTAATTAGGAAAGTCCTGAAAGGCATATGCTGCAGTGAGACTGTTTACAGCATGATGGAGCGACAGCAGTTTGCGGCATATGCAGAAGGTTCCACGTCTGTGCATCTCCTACGTCACTGCCGATGAACTGAAAGCACCAGCTGCTCCATGTACGGGGCCGCTCACAATTCACAGAGGGGGTGGAGCTTCTCACAGGAACATAACTTTAAATCTCCGTCGGATTGTACAGATCAATACAAGTGTTTGTTTATTCTATTATCTGCATTTCTATATATCTGATGGGCGATAGGAAGTCAGCTGTGTAGCGGAAAATATCCCCCCCCCCCCCCCCAAGGATCAAAACGTTATGTAATTTATCATCAATGTTCAAAGTGGACCTGTCATTAGATTGACAGAGCCATCTTTGTTCAGGCATCATCCAGGGTCACCATCAGGGCCGGTGCTAGACTATTTTGCGCCCTAGGCAAGACCAGCTACTTGCAACCCCCAAGTCCCCCCCGTGCGGCCCCACTCTCCTGCCGGCTAGCTTCCGCAGGTGACAGGTGGATTTAAGCAGCCCAGAGCAATAGCCTGACTGCTAATTTAATTTGAAATAGCCAATAGCAGACTGGCTATTGAACCCCCACCCACTGAGCAGAGGGCCATAGCAAGCCATAGTTTACCTCCGGTGCCTGGGACATAGTTAACCCCGCCCACAGTCCACCTCAGGCCTGTCCATTGACCAGGCAAATCCTCACCCCCCCCCCACTTACCAGAAGGGCCCACACAAACCTCACCTTTAATTATTTGGGACCGCCCACTTGCAGCACCCTAGCACTATAATAAATGCCCTACTATATTACTGTGCAAGCACAGTAATTAAAATGAGGGTGGCTCTGTGTTTCCCAGACATGGTCCCAGACACAGCATCATCGGGACTGAGGTCCAAGATGCGGGACTGTCTAAAAAAAATCCAGAACAGTCGTCATTTATGCCTCATTCACACAGGAAAAGGCTGGCACGTACAGCTCCGTGCTGCATGCACAGGCCGTATCGGGCAGCTCCCGGGAAGGACAGGTGCTACGTGTGATTAGTACGCAGCCCCCATCCTTCTCTATGGGACTACGCGCCCGTACGGTCCCGGCTCGGACGCAGACAGGATCCATCCTGTCAGCGTATGAGTACGCTCACCCGCACGGACTTGCACTTGGGGTGAGCGTAGGGCGGCGTACGGCAGCGTAGTCCCATAGAGAAGGACAGGGGCTGTGTACTAGTCACACGCAGCACCTATCCTCCCCGGGAGCTGCTTGATACGGCCGTGCACGCAGCACGGAGCTGTACGTGCCGGCCGTTTCCCGTGTGAATGAGGCCTTATGATATTACTTGCAGGTCCTCTTGAATATCTGTGCAGGAAGGAGAGGTGGCAAAGTCTTTTACAATGTCTCGATTTCCAGGCTTGCCGTTGCATCAGTTACACCCACATCATCTCCATTCCCGTGTGCGCGGTTCTGTGAACGCGGTGAGCTATGACGCAGCTAACTTTGTGTTAGGCTCCATGTAGAAAGTTCAGGTAGAACCAATTCCCCCGTCCCAGCGGTGAAATCAGCTGCAGCGCATTACCCGACGGATAATGTAACCATCGCTTCTAAATATAACCGCGTCATAATCTCCCTTTAAATGCCCCATGTTGTCAATTAAAACGTCTCCTTTCCTCTGCGGGCGCCGGCGTCCCAGTTTTGCGCAGATTCTAATGAGGTCATTAATTATCAAGGAAATTCTGAGCCTCCCCAGTGGTCGGAAACTCCACTGCCAGAATTAGGTCCTTCCTTAGCAACGCAGTGTTAATTGCTTGTTGCCAAGCAGCCAGCCAATGTGCAGAGCGTAATAACGGCAGCGAATACTGTGGAGAGATTATCGGCCCCACGGCGCCGTTCCTGCGTTGGGTGTTTGTCTCAGCGCCGGCACGGTGTTACTGATATACAGGACTCGAAGCTTTGCTTTGTCCATGAAGGGCAAATCGCAGGTTCAATGGCAGGTGGGTGAAAGATGTATAACAAAGGTGGACCTGGGAAAGAAGAGGGTTTATACCCGGCGCCAGCAACACCCCGGGATGCAGTGCTGTTTGCGATGAGATCTGCTGTCATTGGCTGTAATTGACAGCTCACTAGGTTGTCAGTT